GTGGTTGTTGTTGTTGTTGTTGTTATTGTTGTTGTTGTTGTTGTTGTTTTCTTTTGATTTTATTTTCTGTTTTTTTCTTTTATTTCCTTTTTATTATTTCATTTTTATTTTCTGCTTTTTTGTTTTTGTTGTTCATACCTTTTTCCTTTTGTTGTTCTAATTTTTGTTAACTTTTATATTTATTTTTTGGTTTTTGAATTTGATGAAATTTATTGAATTGGCAAAGATTTTTTGAAACTAATGAACAAATTTTGAATTCGCAAACTTTTTTTAATTTTCATGAATCTTTTTTCTAATTTGTGTGCCAACTTTTGAATTGTCGATCATTTTAAATTTTTCATGAACATTTTTTTTAAATTTGATGAACATTTTTTTGAATTAGTGAACATTTTTCCAAATGTTTAACAAATTTTGAATTCATGATTTTTTTTCAAATATGCTATTTTTATCCAAAAATTACAAACATTATTTACATCGACGAACATTTCCGGTTTCATGAACATTTTTCCAAAAACCAGAAAAAATAGTGATTAGTTTTTCCTAAGCTAGGAGCAAACCAACCCGTGCCGGCTAGAGATGGAGCAAACCAAGCTAAAATGACTGGCAGCGATCGAGAGAGCCGAGTGGACGAGCAGGCGAGCAAGGAAGGGAGGTCCTAATCAGCGCTTTCAGCACTGATTAGGAGAAATGACGCTCGCACGCCATTCCTCATGGTCTGGCCCAACAGGAAGGTCATCCACTTGTTCCCTAAAAAACAAATTCGGTTCAGTCGGTCATGGGTTGAGGAGTCACCGTTGACCGTTGAATTTTTCAAAGAAAAAATTCACAAATTTGGAAAAAACAAAACATTTAAAAAGTGCTAGAATTTTAAAAAATGCAAATCAGAAAAAGTTCATCGAATTAAAGAAATAGTTCATCAGTTTTGAATAAAAAATCACAAATTTGAAAGAGAAATTCATGATATTTGGAATAAAATGTGAATTTGGAAAAAAATCAACATTTTTGAAAAAATGTTAATCAATTTGCAAAAAACGTTCATGAATTTTGAAAAATGTTCACAAATTCAAAAAATCACCAAATTTGGAAAGAGTTAATCAATTTTGATAAAAACAGGTCACGATTTTTGAAAAAAAGAATGTAACTAATCACATCGGGGCAAGTTGTCTAGTTGGCTACCGAAGTTGACACTAAACGAGGAGGGTGTGGGTTCGAATCACAAGTCGCTCCACTTTCTGCAGGTTACAATAGA